CGCCACAACAGTCACCGGCGGGACATCCGATGCCTCAAAACGCTTCGCAACAACAACACCAACAGTTGGGACAACAGACGCCGTACTCGCGATCCATGCCGTCATCGCAGTCGATACCAGCGGGAGGACCGCCACCGCCCGCGTCCTCACAGAGCCAGTACGGAATGATGCCTCCGCCTCCACCCCCGCCACCCGTCTCTCAATACGGACCCCAAACACAACAACCAAACGCTTATAACTATGGCTCCCATTCGCAACAGTTTAATCAGAATTATGCACAGCAACCAAACGCTCCCTTTCAGGGCTATAACTATCCGCCGGGCAGTGGACCTCCCGGCCCGCCACAATCCGGTGCCAACAGTGGTTACCCACCGCCGCCCCCTTCCAACCAATACCAGGGTTATCAGGCGTACGGACCGTCTGGACAATCAGCGCCGGCACCGCAGCAGCAGCCGCCCCAACAGTGGTACTCACAGTCAGCCCCAATGCCGGCTCAGACGCAACCGTATTCAGCACCGGCGCCGCCCACCCATTCTTCCCACACCGGAGGACCGCCGCCTCCACCGCCCCCTCAGACTTATGCCGGTTATTCAAATCCAAACTACAATCAAACCTCTCAATACTCACAACCAAATTATGGCAACAATTACGGCCCGCCTTCAGGACCGCCACAACAGCCCCAAAATGGCGGATACGGAGCGATGCCCAGCAATGCGGGCCCTCCGCCGCCCCAACAGAGACCCAATTACAGCCAACAGCCGTACGGACACTATTCACAACAACAACGCCCGCAAATGGCCTCATATGCCGGTTATGAACAGTCCAATCAAGGATATGGTGGTTATCCACCGCAACCTCAATGAACTTAACGATTACCACACTATTAATGCATATATTTTTTGATTTGCTTTAAATTATTTGCATGTATTTGTACTTATTTTTGACACGATTTACATCAAGTAAATCTTATTTGTATTGTTTTTTTGGTCTTTTGGTTTTGTGATAATCGGTTTAGAATTTGCTTTCTTATGTAACAATCATTTCTTGAGATTAATGTAATCCATGTCTGCATTTATTCAACAGACTTATCATCGCTTCAATCAAATTGATTCGCATTTTCAATAAACAAAACATTTTATTTCAAAAGATTATTACATTTATTTCAATATTTAGTACTAATAATCGCTAATTGAGTGCTTGTTATGGAAATTACATAAAATGTCATATTTTGGTAATCAAATATTTTAAACTTGGTGTAAATTCATTATAAATTGATGGTTATTGGCAAACGTAGCGTTACATAATGGTAAAAAATAAGGCACACATCAAATCAAATGTAGAGTTAAATTTAAAATAATTAAAAAAAATAAAACTAACCAGGGTAAAGTATGTTGGATTAATAGAAGTGGAGTGAGATAGGTGAAAAAAATTAGGAACGCTTCACGATTTTGCGTGTCATCCTTGCGCAGGGGCCATGCTAATCTTCTCTGTATCGTTCCAATTTTAGTATATGTCCCGCCGACACGGGACAACATTATAGTATGCACACAGCTTTATATACCCTCTCCATGTCTACTACTTTCGCTGTGACAGTCGCTAACACAGCGAACCACTGTTTGTCCCATTCATTCATTGCCAATCATTTAACACCCATTTCTATACACATAAATGTTTGTCCGTTTATCCATACAAACAGATAATTCACTTGTTTTGACCTAAAATAATGATCTAATCGTCCAATTAATCGGTTTTAACCGGCGTTTCAAGGCTTACGCTTAACGCGCGTACAGATTATGCGCGCGTTTTGTGGAGCGAATGCGTTGAAAGCGAAGGCAAAATGCGAACAAATAATAATAATATGGTTTGCATTACAAGTGAACGCAAATCGTTGAACGCATTGAACAGTGTTTTTGTCGGTCTCTCAGAGACTCTCATTGTATGCATTGATTGTGTGTTTTGTGCGAATCGAGTGAACCATAGGATCCCATATCAAAGGCGACGTGTCTTCGCGTATTTGATCCCACATTTTGATCGCGTATTTGTGGCCACACTTTTGGGCAGACGTTCGGCACTGAAGGAGTGATGTCTGATCTGTCGGTAGAGTTGGACAGAGAGGAGGAGAGGGAGGACTCGGGCCACGAGAACGGAGGCGATGGCGAGAGCGCCGGCGCTTTGGCCGACGACGAGCGCAACGACTCGTCCGTTCAGTCCATGCATTCCAACGCCGACCACAACAACGCCCACAACACCACTGACGCCACCGAAGACCCGGAGCTCGAGGCCATCAAAGCGCGCGTCCGTGAGATGGAAGAAGAGGCCGAACGCCTGAAGATCATGCAGGAAGTGATGAACGATGAGGACAAACACGACTCCGACAGTCCTAATGGTCGGTCACTTTCACTGCTCACAGTCTTTGCCTAATACTAACGGGTGTTGTCTTTGTCTCCAAATAGCGAGCATTTCTGGGATGTCTATCGAGGAGAAGATGGAAGTGGACGGACGCTCTGTATATGTGGGCAATGTATGCACTCTTTGTCTCATTTATTGATAGCTTAATTATATCTGATTTGATTGAGTGATGACTTTGAAATACATGTTAGACTTCTGATACCATTTTGATGTCTACTTTAATAACTGATTATATAACTAATTGAACACTTTTTGGTTTTTAAGTAAATACAAACCGATTAATTGAATGTCATTTAAATTGAACGACAGGTGGACTACTCGGCGACGGCCGACGATTTGGAGCGACACTTTCACGGCTGCGGATCTGTTAATAGAGTGACAATACTTTGTGATAAATTTACTGGACATCCAAAAGGGTTTGCAGTTTAAATGAGCCGATTATAGCATTGATTATTAATTATACTAACTTTTTAACGAATAGATTTGCTTACATTGAATTTGCGGACAAGGATTCGGTAGAGACGGCCACTGCTCTCGACGAGTCACTGTTCAAAGGCCGACAAATTCGGGTAAATAATACTCTTTAATAGTTATAATTAATTCTTTATTTGAATATAATTTGTAATATTTAGTGAAAATAGAATAAAACATTAAAAACATTAATTGAAAACAATTGTATTTGAAATGTGTGTTTAGGTTTCGGCGAAACGAACAAATAGGCCGGGAATCAGTTCGACGAATCGGCCGCCGAGGGGTTCCCGAGGCTCCAGACGGGGCGCATATATGGGTCGAAGCGCCCCCTGGTTTGGTGGCAGACCTTCCAGAAGATCGTATGTTTAGATTGAATATTAAGTGTTGATTACATACTTGTAATATGTATTATAACTCTAGTCGTGGAAGAGGCGGTTGGTTTGGATACAGCCCTTATTGAAGGGCTCTTTTGGTATAGTATTCAGCGGTTTATAAAGAATACAATCGTATCTCTCAGCCATTCATTCACTTTTCATAATTCATTATAATATTTCACTTAATGGTTACCATAAAATCCCATAACATCTGATGCAGAGAGTAATGATTAAATGAATGGACACATCGTTTTAACCAAAAAAAATGATAAAATATGACAATTAAAAAAGAAAAAACTAAAAAATGTAAAAAATGAATAAAAAATGTAATTTATAAAAAAGAATTGAAAAAAATATTTGAATTTAAAAACAATTAAAAACTGAGAAAACAATGAAAGATTGGTTGACTAAACGATTGAAAAAAGAGAGCACTTCTGCATCAGTTTGTTGGGAAAGACTTGTCTGTTTCTCTCATTGCAGGTTTGGTATGTGTTAATACGGGTTAGCATTAACTGTGGGCACATGTATGACAACAGCCGGTGTTCACCAATAAATAAGTTAATGGATTGTTGCCTACGAATCGCATTTAATTAATTAGATTTATAAAATTTGGGTTTTTATTGCAATGTTTGGTTGGATGGATGGCTTTGATGGTGAATGTGGTGAGTGATGGCGAGAGCGCCTCCCTGTACGAAACGGACAAAGTTGTCGCCAACGATTGGTCCCATCGCGTAAAGTCCCGGTGAGACCAGACTTTCGTGAGTATATGTGTTGATGGCTATTGGGTTAGACCGCGGATTAATGCGTTCCCTTTTCTTGACGCCCAACTCAGACAACAGGCTCTTAGGTTTGATGAAATTGAGGTTCGGTTTCATACCGATGAGCACCAGAACATAGGAAACCTTTACTTTGACATAAGTGGTGAGTTGGGTGTCGTCGACGCCAATCATGTTCACCAGAAGGACCTCTTTATTTGCTTTAATTTCTTTAACACAATGCATGGCTAACGGCTCATAACCACAATTGGACAGAAACTTGCCCTTCATTTTTGAGTGAACGCAATGGTATTCCGGATACATATTTTCCGGCAACTGATTGAATATTAGCGACGGGTCGTCGGGATGTCTGCGGAACGCGTGAATTGTTGGCACTCTTCTGAATCGGGTAGCGATGACGGCATCGGCAGCGCTCAGACCGGCGCCTATAATGAGAATTGGGTCTGAAGTCGGCCTCACTTTTGATTCAGAGATCAATGTTTCCAATTCGTTGAGCGAATGCAATACAAATGGCAAGTCTTCTCCCGGAACCTCCAAACGGTTTACACGATCACAGTTACCGGTGGCCAACACTACACGCGGACTCGTGTAATGAAAATCATTTCCATTGGAGTCGTGGCCATCGATTCGGTATTTCTCTATCTTTTCGTCAAATTGGAGTGAAGTAACAGAAGAGAAGTGTTTAAAGTTTTTCATTAAACCCTTTGTCTTGACGTAATTGTGGTAATAGTTGGCGACAGTCGACAAACTGACGCGACTCTCTCGCCTATGCTCTGAACACCACTCTCTTATATCCATGTCTGGCAATTGCATCCAAGAGCCCAGACTAATGGTGAGTATCTCTTTGCAGTCGTTCATCGCATGCCAGGCGCCGCCCGGAAGTCCCTTTCCTATGACCACGTGGTCGATAGCCCGGTCCGAGCGGTGCCTCCATTCCAGTGTCGACGGGTTCTCGACCCCGAAGTCCGCTTCCGGATGTTGTAAGTGATCGAAAAGGACCGACACTTTATTGATGGAACGGCCCTCCAAACCGTCGCTCAATAACTCCAAGTCCTGTTCCACTAATGACTTGTTTAGCACATTATCATCAATGAGTCTTTGGTGGAGATATTCGTTGGGATGCGATTGACTGGTATAATAGGGCCAATTGCCGGACAGCATATAACTTAGACTTATAGCCGACGGGCCATTGCCTATGATTACTACTTCTGTATCGATGACTGAATCCATTGATGAAAGTTTTGACAGAAATTCGGCTAAAAATGTGGAGTCGGTGTGAATGTGAGGCACAGAACGTAAAGTGACTTAATATTAGTATTTAACAGAAATTCCAAGTGTTGAGTCTTTTTTATGGCAAAAAACCAGTCATTTATCACATTATATTGAATACCACTCCTTCTAATCGCACTTCCAATCCGTCTCAACACTGGAAATGAAATGATTTGTATATTAAAACATAGTAAATGATGTTTCAATGATAGGCAAAAAACCAGTCATTTATCACATTATATTGAATACCACTCCTTCTAATCGCACTTCCAATCCGTCTCAACACTGGAAATGAAATGATTTGTATATTAAAACATAGTAAATGATGTTTCAATGATTACATATACATTAAAACTGAATTATTTGAGACTTATATCAAATTGCATGGCATTATGTGTTTTGTCATCTATATATCAGCGATTATTCGCCAAAAAAGTCCTTTAAAACATTACTTTCGATGACTTTTCACTTAACATCCATTCAAATAATTCAAGTCAAGAGCACACATGCCTTAAGGAATTTATTTAATTTTCTTGTCTCGTCTATTACTGATTATCGTTAAGAAATATCAGAAATTATTTTATTAAAAGTAATTTAATGCTGAAATATATTACGAAATTTTGGATTTAATAATTGCTATCAAATAGTTATAAAGTTTTGTGTGAAATAATTTGAGAGTAACTTTAAATGTGGTTATCATTAGAATCGCAAATAAAATACTTGAGATTTACTTTTCATTTATAAATATGTTTCCACACTATAAATAGGATTTATTAGCAACTCATACAACACTTGTTTTTCACATTTCTGTTATTTGGTGTTTAATTATCTATTATTTTGGCACCAAATCTTCAAAACAAATTTAATATTAAT